TGACTTTCAGTCTCGATGGTCATGGTCATGAGTTTAGGCCAAAATACTCTTAGTCACAACTTTCTCAGTCACAACGGTCATGGTCATGAGACTCTCAGTCATAATGGTCACGATCCAAAATCTCTCCAAAGGCTCATAACCAGCTATGATCAAGAGTCTTGACTGTTATTTCTCTCGGTCACAATGATCATAAGACTCTCGGTCATAATGGTCATGATCATGAATCTTGACCAAGATTTTTAGCCACTATGGTCATGATCAAGACCCATGACCAAATATGGTCATGATCAGGGGTCTCGGGTCAAAATCACTTGAAGAATCTTCGGGGTAATTCAAATGAAGATCGGCTGGAATCCCAATGATTTAAGAACCCAACAAGTCAGGTCTGGAAACATGAAAAGAGCTTGAAATAGAAAAGGACAACTTGACAATATCAGAAGTTTAGAACTACAGATGGAAGGTTCTCACCTACATCTGGTGAGGAGAGTCAGAATTGTCAACAATCAGATGCCTCCAGGCTAATGTACAAATCAAGCCAGACATGACAGGTGCAGAGAGCTAAAAATGGCTTGAAGACCAAAATCATCAAGCATGAAAGATAAGGCACCACTTAGTTAAAAATACTATGTCAGATATACTTGTATCTGCCTATAGAAGGATATGCAAGTCAGTCAACCTGACCAGCTCAGCAAGGTGGTTAGGAAGAGTCACTTTCAGTTTACAACCAATCAATTTCTAGAGAAACGGTTAAAAGGGACAACACTAGGTGGAAGCCTCTATAAATACCCACTCAAGCTTCACAAGGAAGGCGTCCAAGACCATTTCTAAAGTTCAACCTTTAGCGTTCATATCACTTAGCACTTAGCTTTTATTTCATCAAGTTCAGTTTAGCACTTAGCTTTTAGTTCAGCAAGTTCAGTTTAGCACTATTAGTTTAATTCTTAGTTCATCTTTCAGCATTCAATACTTTAGTTTCCATTTCAATCAAGAGTTTGTAATTCATTCATCATTGTAATCAGTCAAGTTCAATGAAGAAAGGTTTGCAGATTCAGGTATATTTATTGTTCAGTTTAAGTTGCTTCTAATTGATATTCATCTTAAATGTTTAAAGTCCTTTCTTAAAGGTAATAACAACCTTAAGGAAAGGGTCATTCCTACTTTCCAACTTTCGCCTGAATCACCTTAGGTCGGTGACCCGACCCAATAGGAATAGTTTGGCAAGAAATATTCGAGTCCATCAGGACTCTGGCACGCCCGCGTTCTAGCTCAGCCATTCGTTGGCTAGAAACCTCAGACCACTTTGTGAGCCAAACAACTTTGGCACGCCCAGTGGGACACTTCTAATCAGGCGGTGGGACACTTCTAATCAGGTGGTGGGACACTTGTTTTATTCGTGAATGGTCGTCGAGACTAGGTCACAGACTTAAACTTCAGCTGGACAAGCTAACCCTCAAAGGGAAGATCAGGAAGAAAATCAGCCTGCTCCCATCATGCAAGATTCTGGGTCTGAGCATGAGGAGGGACATCAGGCCAGCCACCAAATGGCGGCCGAAAGTGTCAGTAATATAGTGACACGATTTGAAAGTAGAGTGGAGGCTTCCCAACGCCAAGTCGCTTGGGAGATCAACAAAAATATGGAGCCGTTGGTGGCTTCATCCCACATGACTAATACTCAGCTCCAACAGCTGAATGAGAATTAGAGACCCCTACCTTAAAATGAAGCAAAATCCCCAATTTTCACCTCAAACCCTAAAAATGGGTCAAGATTTTTGGACTCCCTAGAGTGGCCAAAAGTTGAAATTGTTGGTATGGATTTGAAGACCTCATCGTGGGCTTCAATTTGCCGCAAACGGCATTTCAAAATACCAAGAGATGAGGAATTAATCTAGAGTGAAAGCTTGCAAAAGAAAAAGAAAAAAAAGAAATACAGAGAAGCAGAGAGCTGCAAGAGAGAAGAAACAACAGAGAACAAAAAAAAAAAGAAAAAAACGTGGTCTTATTACCACTTAAACTTCATGGGTCCCACACATTTTTTTTCTTTTCTTTTCTCTTTTTCTTTTGCTGTTAAAACACTCCACACACAGACATTACATAATCTACCACAATCACATAGTTAAAATAATTGAAATTTTAACATGCTTATACTCAATTTAAGAAGGAAAATTCACATGGAACCTAAGAAATTGTGAATTAGAGCACCTCTACCTCAAAAGTAGCCAAAATATATCCCCGGCCGAAAAAATCAACGTCGGTCAACGGCGGCTGAACGGAAAACTGTTTGGTGGGAACATAGCCGTCGATGAAGTGATTCTACTGTTCCAAAGGGTCAACCCCGGAACCCGACTTCAAGTGGCTCAAAACCTAATCCGAAGCCTTAGATCCAAAAATTTTAAAAATTCGTAAAATAATCACCGCTTCTCCAAAAATTAAATCCTTTGACTATGTCATACAGAACGACGAGAGGAACGTTTTCCGTCAAGGAACCAAGATCGGATTCCTAACCGATTGGCCGAAATATGGGTAGAAAAGTGTAAGCTTAAAAATAAAAGAAAAAGAAACGAAAAGGAGAGAGAGGTGTTGCGCAAGAGAGAGAGATATAGAGCAGATGGTCTGATATGATCGTATAAGGTCATTATAATGGCTTAACAATAGTGGTGGGTCCCACTATTTTAAAAATATATATATATATATAATTTCAACATTTTATATATATATATATATATATATATATATATATATATATATATATATACACATATATATAAAATGTATCACAACCACAACTTTAAATATATATATAACCAAGTAATTATTCAACAAATAATAATGCACTAAATGCCACAAACTCAAATCACAGTCCCCGTGCTCAACAACTCCGGTAACAGGTCCTGTTTGGGACCTCTCAGCCCGAAAAATTAAAAAAAATACCGAAATGACAAACGATGCATTTCCAAGAGTCATGAACTCAAGGAAATGCTCCAATTAACTCTAGGAACTCACCCGGCACACCCCACAGTGTTCGGCACGCAAAACGAGACAATGATTAAAATAATTCATAAAATCAAAAAAAATTCCAAAAATTAAAAAATTGGTAAAATCAGAAATATTACATTGTGTTCTTATTATGGTGGTACTTTGATCTTTTGGCCTATTAAATAACAGTCATTATTTATGCTTTCACTTCTCATTTCAAATGTCCAAGCATGATTAAAAAAATAAATAAATCTGCTGTCCTGTATGTTTAGTGTTTACAGAACAAATGATTTATGATTTATACGTTACATAAATATCTACGCTCAACAATGTTTTCTATAAGAATGTTTCTGTTTGTATCAATGAATTGAAAATTTGAGTCAGATTGACAATAAGGTTCCCCCGGAAGGAGTTATTGCCTAGTTGAAGATATTGTAAGTGAAACAATAGAGATAGTTGCATTGAGAATCATGATAATTTTGTAGAAGTTGCCAGTGAATTTAAAGAAATTCATCATGAGCAAAATTATCTTACTTGAGTTGAAGATGGTTAACTTAAAATATGAAAACATCTATTGCTTTACTACACAAGCTAGCAGATAAAGAAAATGACTTCAACACAACAAAAGTAGAGAATTGTGACAAGAATGAAACATAGAAATTAATTAAAAGATGGATTGGAAAAAAAATTACAAGACATGCGAGCTCTAACAATAAAATTAGCACGTGGGAAGAAAAATTGGATATATTGAGAATTAGTTATGATGAAATTAAGGGAAAGAAAATTTGCTTTACTGTTGAGAAAAAAAAAAAAAAAAAACCACAAATCAAAAGATTAATATTCACTAACTTTACTTATGGACCATGTTATTTTTTCTGCCAAATTCCATCCTCTAGTTTCCCAAAATCGCATTATTTAATTCTTCATGAACACGGTTGAACATTTTGAAATTTTTATTGAAAGTATATAGGGATTCAAATTGATATGAAATTTGGCAGTTTTATCGGTTTAATTATTAAAAACTTATTTATTTATTTATTAATTTTTAGAGATGATATTAAATTGGACTGTCTTTAGGATTTTATATATAGACGTTCTCGATATATCAATTTCATGACTTGGATGGCTCTTGGTAGTTATTTGACTCTTGAATGTCCATAGGCCCTCCTCAAAATAAAGTTCCAAACCATATACTTTTTTGTTTTTTTTTTTTTGTTTTGTTTTTAGATATGTCAGATGCATTGGTATATGGGTGTCTGATACTAATCTTCCTTCGTGCAATCTTCATCTATCCATCATCCAATCAATTCTTGAACTGTGCGCATGTGTGAGGGTTTGTGTCAGCTTTAATTGCACATTACTCATTCGATCTCTATCAGGCCAACTTTCTTTAACTCTAATTTTTGTTTCTAATTGTTAATTGCTATGTAATTTTTTTACTATATTGTACATTGTTCAGATGAATCTGACATATGGTTGTAACTCATCGGTATCTCTTTAAATTCTCAATTGGCAGGTGTATAATATTCCTTGTTAGTTTATTTGGTTAAAGTATAATTTTATAGGTGTCACTAAATTTTCCCCCAACATATATAACTTCCTGAAACAAAATTCAGCTCAACTTTAAAAAAGTCTTGTTACAATTGCTTGGGTTGAATGAGTGGATCCTGTTTCACATTTATTACTTCCTAAGGTAACGACTTCACCTGAAACCACATATTATTGTAACTTTTTTATTACTCTATAGTTTTGTGTGTGTGTTCATGCTTGATTATTGATCTTTCTCCTTTCGATATATATATATATATATATATATATATATATATATATATTTTCCTACCAATCTCGGAACCTTGACCTAGGGCTTGGGAATTAAGAGTGAAAGCTAGTCGGACAAAGGTGAACTAGTGAAGACTGAAGATGGTAACTTTGCTACACAAAATTTGTTGATCAAAGCTTATATATATGTAGTAGAAACTTCATGAAATGCTACATGATAAACTATAAATGTATTCTTTCCAACTCTCTCACACCCTCTCTTCCTTCTGCAAAAACAAATTTCTAATCATGTGGAGTTCCAAGAGAACATCCCTAATATCCATCCTTTCACTTGCCAATTCAGCAGAACATATTACTCCAATTTGAAAGATTGACACCAAGCACTCCTCTAATCTAACAATGTTGCATTGGCTTGTCCTTATAGAAGCAGCTACAAATCCTGATCTGAGTTCAGAGTCAGTAATCGCCATCACTCTATCTGGAAGTGCCGTCTTAGCATAGTTATGAGGACTTAAATTGTTTGTAAACATGCTGTTGGTTGGATTTTTTCCAGTAAACATCTCTAGTAAAAGGATCCCAAAGCTGTACACATCTCCTTGTGTTGAAACATTTGCGCCCATACCATATTCTGCAATTCCAAAAATTAACACAATGCTAAAAAATTTACTGTCCTAAAGTTATTCTAATTTCTAAATTATATTTCTAGGAACACTGCATAGCACGGAAATACTAAAATTACAATATCTCAAACTGGTTTTGCAAAAGAGTGTCATCTCCAAGTCAGAAAGTTGAGGTTTAGAATAACTTCTTTTTAGTTCCACATAATTGCAATCTAATTTCACAATGGTCCAAATCTAAATAAATCCACTTAAGAATGAAAAGGGAGTGTATGGAAATGCATAAAATTAAGTACTAGAAAGTATGATTACCTGGTGCTACATACCCAATTGTTCCTCTAACTGCAGTGGATGAACGTGACTGCGTTTGATCAGATATACCATCGGTAGTTAGAAAAGATCTCGCCAGGCCAAAATCGCCTACATGGGCACATAGTTCCTTGTCAAGAAGAACATTGCTTGGCTTTAAATCACAATGAATGATTGTTCTTCCACAATGATGGTGAAGATAATCTAATGCAGACGCCACATCGATGGCAATGTTTAGCCTTGCGATTAGATCCAAGTACTTCGAATTTTGTTGCTCAGAAAAATTTGGATGTAACCAGCTCTCTAAACTTCCATTTGGCATGAACTCAAAGACCAAGGCCTTGAAATCGTTTCCTTTGAAACATATGCTCGAGCAAGATGTGATGATCTTGAGAAGATTGCGGTGGCGAATGTTCTTCATTGTTTCACATTCAGCCAAAAAACTCTTGTCGGCTCCACGTTGTTGGAGGTTGAGTACCTTCACAGCAACTTCTTGTTCACTAAGTTTGAGAATTCCTTTATAAACAGAACCATATCTCCCCTGACCAATCAAGTTGGATGTAGAGAATCCATTAGTAGCTTGAAGAAGTTCTGCATAAGAGAGTGTTGGATACCAATTTCCCAACTGAAGGTCTGAATAGGATCTTCCTTTTGTCTTTTTGGTTCGACAAAGAATAGCACAAACACATGCTATTAACAATGCAACAGAAAGAGTGATACTGATCACAATAATTATCAATCCATGACCAGATAACTCTGCTTTTTTATCAGAGAATTTTGCAGGACATTCAGGCAATTTCAATGCCTTGATTCCTCCACAAAGCTTGTTATTTCCCAAAATTGAAAACACAGTAGTATTCATGAACACCCCTTCAGATGGAACTACACCCTCGAATGAATTATATGAAAGGTTGAGATTCTGAATGAATGGGAACTCGCCTAGAAAGCTTGGAATCTCCCCGGAAAAATTATTACGAGAAAGATCTAGAACATCAATACCTCTTAATTGCTTCAGAGATGATGGAAGCGTGCCTTCAAAAAGGTTACCATCCATAAGCAAGAGCTGCAAAACTAGACAATCTCCAAGTGTGCTTGGGATTTCACCTGACAGCTTGTTTCCCGAAATATCCAACACTGCTAGATTTTTCAGGTTACCTACTTGTGGTGGTAGTGGCCCAGTTAGATGATTATGACGCAAGACAAGAACAATTGAAAGGGAAGAGAGATCAAGAACTTGTAGTGGTATTTGCCCTGTGAGACGATTATATCCAAGATCTAATGCTTGTAGGTCTTTGCAGTCACCCAAAGAAACTGGTATGCTTCCCTCCAGCATATCCACTGATATGGAAAGAAAACTTAATCGAGAAATGTTCCCAATTGATGTTGGAATTTTTCCAGAAATGTTATTTTCTGGAAGGAAGAGTTGTATCAACTTGGAGAGTTTACCAATGTATCTAGGAATGCTGCCTGTGAACATGTTCTCAGCTAATCCTAAACTCTCTAAATTAATGAGATTCCCAATCCCCTCTGGGATGATTCCATATATACTGTTGTTTGACACACTCAGTGTGGTAAGCTTGCTAGATAAATTTCCAATGGAATTGGGCAATTGACATCGGAAATTGTTGTCACTTAAAATCAGACTTCTTAGATTTGTACGATTGACTAAAGAATTGATGAAACTCAAGTCGTTGTCTTGATTAGTTCCAAGTGTGTTAACTCCAAAGTCAAGCCAATCTAGATAAAGAAGGCTTCCCAAATTCATTGGCACAGGACCAGTAAAGGCATTTCTAAAAATATCAATACTTATAATTCTTGAAGCATTGACTAGTGATGGAGGAATAGTCCCAGAGAATTGGTTAATTCCCAATAAAATTTGTTGCAAGTTTGGAAGGGTCAACCCCAAATCTGGAGGGAGACTTCCATGTAATTGGTTCAAAGCTAGGACAAAGAATATGATGGATGAGATATTGTATAGTGGGATAGGAACGACACCAGACAAATTGTTAGTAGACAATTGAAGAATCTGTAAGTTTAAAAGCTGTCCAAACTCGAAAGGAATGCTTCCCTCCAGATTGTTTTTGTTTAGATTAAGTATACGAAGTGCAGAGAGATTCCCAAGTGAAGGTGGGATATTGCCAGTGAAATGATTCATGAAAAGATTCAATCCGAAGAGATTAGACAATGAGCCTAGCTTGCTAGGAATTTTTCCTCCTAGATTGTTTTTGGATATGTTGATGACTCGTAGGTTTAAGCAAGAAGTCAGATTGGTAGGGAACTCACCTTGGAAAGAGTTTATGTTAATCCAAAGCTGTTGCAATCGCGACAATCGACCAATTTCTGGGGGAATGGTGCCATGGAAGCTGTTATTTTGGAGATAGATGCCTCTAAGAAAGGTAAGGTTTCCTATATGAGGAGAAATGGAACCCACAAAGTTTTTGGATGACAAGTTTAAAATGGTCACTCTCTGATGCCGATGACTACAAGTAACTCCTTGCCAATTACAGAAGTGGACAGAATCATTCCATGAACTAAGGACCCTGTAGGGGTCCTCGAGAATTTGATCCTTGATGGCTAGCAAGGCTTGTCTGTCTGTCTTATTTGTGAAGCCAAAAGCGGTACTTGCTTTGACATTTGAGGCCAATACAATAAATCCCATATGAAATAGGACAAAAAAGAGTGTGGAAGATGAACTTAATAGCCTTGCCATCATATTTTTTGTGCTATTGGCAATAAAAAGGTTAATAATGAAGAGAAATGGAGGTGATGTGGTTTATATACCAATTCAGAAACAGAATTATGTGAGGAAAACACTGTATACTTTCATGCCGTCCATGGTTATTCTTTTTGCCTATTCCCAAATGTCGGCCTTCGAAATATTCCTTTCTTACTTCCATTACGCATTTCAAATGTTTGCAATTATGTAATTCAACACATCAGGAGAAAATCCTTATCTAAATGCCATTGACCCTACAAACAAACAAATATATATATATATATATATATACAAACAAACAAATATATATATATATATATATATATATATATATATATTCACGTTAGCTTTGATGACACCATGGAACTGATCCAGATCATAAATTGGTTATTTAATGTAAGTCTTTTCTTTCCTTTTGAGTTTCTTTAAATTAACTTGTAGTTCCAGTCATCGCCACAGTTATAATAACGAGGGTGAAAATGTTGGTATGGCCGGCTGATCATTTCCTTCCGATCTGCCCATTGGCATGCTCTCTTTCTTATACACACACACAGTCACACACACAGACTGCTTCACCAAAGTACTAAAAAAGGAAGTTGGCGACTACCCATTTATCTAGAGTGTATGCCTACCCACTTATGTTCATATAATAAATTGGCCTTTTTTTCTGGGCACTGCGACAAATGGTGAAGATTAAAGAGTCCCTCTGTATTAGGATATGGTAGTGTTGGATACTTAAATCTGGACCAATGAAATGATCCAAACACTGTCATAGAAGTATGAATTATGTCACCTTAGAACTCTTTTTTCCTGAAGTTGCGCTGTACCTAACTATACCCTTATACTATACCCCTAATATTCATTAACACATAAATAAAGAGAATTGCGTCCAGCTGAAAACAGAGTAACCTTTGGTTTAACGCCTTGATTTTCATTAATGGAAAGTCTTTTTGCAGAGACTAACTTGTTTCAATGGGTAAGTAGAAGTGATCTGGAGTAAGACCTAACTTAATCTGTAACATCTCTTTCTTCTATGTGTGTGTTGTGTGCATTTATTTATATGCATGAACTTTTTTTTTTGGTTAGTTGATTACTTATATTTAATTTTAAATGTTTTTTGTTGTTTGTCTTTTTTACGTAAATATGCAATTGAATTATAAGTAAAAAATAGAAAATGTACACGGGGACTTGCATGATTCCATGAAACCCCATTTAATGAAGTATAAAATAAGGAACCCTAAAAAAAAGATTAAATAAGGATATAACAAATTTTAAAAATGAAGTAAAAGAACCCAGATCCCAAATGCACAACTTCAGACATGGAAAGCATCTTTTTGATTGTGGAAGAGTTAGGGGCAAGGGGATTTATTTAACATTATCATCCTTCACAAAAGTAGAAACTCTATAAAACAACCCAAGCATCTTTTTCTTTACATCTTTCTCCTACACTCCCTTTTCCTTTTCCAAAAATACATCTCTAATCGTGTGTAGTTCCATTAAAGCATCCCTAGCATCCATCCGTTCTTTTGGAAATTCAGCAGAACATTGTACTCCAATTTGAAAGATAGACACTAAACACTTCTCTAGTCTACCAATGTTGCATTGGCAGGTGTTTATTGACACATCTCCCTCTTCCAGTGTGAGTATGGAATCAGTTACCACCATCACTCTATCTGGAAGCGCCATCTTAGCATAGTTATGAAGACTACATTTGTCTGTGAACATATTGTCAGTGACCTTTTTTCCGGTAAACATCTCTAGTAAGAGGTGTAAACTCTAATTAATTTGTGTTAGACTTTAATCACAAATTATCATAAAACCTGTCACGCCCCAAATTCCTCGACTCAGGTTGAGAAGAAAAAAATAATAATAAAAATAGATAATTAATTAAATAATTAATTAATTATATTCACTTAAGTAAATAAATAATTACTTGGAGAAAACCAGTGTCATTCACCACATAAATAATAATAATAATAATAATAATAATAGTTTCATAAAATAAATAATAGCATGATTAATTAACCATTTCTATTAGACTATCCAAATGAACCCACATGTACTTAACTTAAACAATAATTATTCAATCCCACTATATAAGTCATGGCCACCATGGCCTCATTACAATCCATAAGGTGAGAAATAATGTTAAGGGATTAAATGAGTAAAGATAAGAGAGGAAATTCCATAAGAACTCCAAAAGATAGATGGATGAGTTCCTACGTCATTTCCCTCCTCCAAAAGAATATTACAAACATGTCATCAAATATAATATCCAAAATACACCATGTGTCAAAATACAAGTCCAAAAGTAAGCTACAAAATAGATGTCACAATTATCACAAGTAGCCCAAAAATGTTGTCAAGATCCCAATCAAGCTTGGGATGAGGAACCTCCTCTTGGGCAATGCCCTTTTCGGAAAAATATAAGAATCAACGGAGTGAGCAACGAATTGCTCTGTAGGAATGTCTCATGAATATAAACTAGGTTTCTCAGAATTCTACAAACATTGCATGGTCATACAATACAAGGAACATACTCCTTAACGTCTAGTCTCAAGGGGAACCTAAATAGGATCATCCTAGTCTAGCATAAATAATATTAATTCATTCATCAAGACAAACATAAATAATATAATGTAATGTACATAAATTTACAAGTTGCAATAACATATAAATGCTAACTTGAAAATAAAAGTCAAAATCAATTAACGGGATAACTCGGAACACACCCACACTCCCGGTCACATAGTCATGCTATGCGCCTAAATAAAAATAGTCGTTTTCGGATTACTAATCCGCCGGAAACTAACCGATTGGCCAATATAAAGTGGGGAAACTCATGTTTCACCCGCGAGCGCCGCCAAGCCCTCTCATTCTCAAAATAACAACCCCCGAGTATCTCCCAAAATCAACAAACACGTCCACAAAATAATCCATATACCATGATATTGTGATGTTTTCAATTTTCGGCATTTTTCTTTTTTCAGAATTTTTGTCTCTGCAAAGGCATTTTCTTCATTTCACGTTTTGCACACCGGACGCCGTGGGGTGTGCTGGGTGTGTCGGTGAGCTATTGGGGCATCTCATTGAGTTCGACACTCTTTGAAATGCAAGGTTGGTCATTTTTGCATTTTTTCATTTTTCGGACTTGACGATTCCGTGTGGGACCCGTTACCGGTATTGTTGTGCACGGGGATTTTGGTTGGATCCATTTGTATTTTATGCATATTATTTTATGTGTTTTATGTGCTATATATATATATGGTGATGCACGTGCATGTAATTGTGTGGTGCAAATTAAGACAAACGAAAAAGGAAAAATCAAGATGGTGGTGGGACCCATCATTAACACACATAATGGGTTAGAGACCACATTTTGATCTCATTTTCTTATTTTCTCTCTCTCACTCTCGTAACTCTCTCTCTCTCACCCTCTCAAAGTCTCTTTTTCTTTTTCTATTTTCATTCAAACTTTGAATCAAGATTTCTCCTTCAATACTTGGAGTCTTTGGAAGCCGTTTGCGACAAATCGAAGCCCACGACGAGGCCTTCGAATCCATACTAGCAATTCCAGCTTTGGGCCTCCCTAGCATTTTCGAAAATTGAGACCCATTTGAGGGTTTTGCATCACACTTGAGGTAGGGGTTCCTAATCCATGAGATTCTTGCTCCCTTGTGAATTATTCTTTGTTAATTGTAGCTAAACATGCTTAATTTGAGATGAATGCCTCTAAAATGATTTGGTTTTGTATATGAAATTCATGATTATGTGTATATGTGGATTTGTGTGAAAAACATACTTAAATGTTGATTTTATATGCTTGTATGTTCGATAACTTGTTAAAGCTTACTATGTGGAAAGCATGCTTATGTGTTAATTTTTCATGCTTATGGTATTAGTAACTTATTGGAAATTGTTAAATGGAAGTATGTTAATTTGTGTAGTATGTAAATCTTTCAATTGTTATGGTATTGAGAAAGTATGTGATGTTCATGCATGTCATTAGGTATGAAAATGGGGAAAAATGTTTCGAAATGAAAAGGGGAATTTTGGGAAAGAAGTTTTGATTAAAGTGCTTGATAGAAAACCCGATCGCCGTGGGGGTACCAAAAGGCCGGTGTGTTAATATAGCCTAGAGGGAACTAGGGAGATTGCCCTAGCGTGGTTGAGCTAGCTGGCCCAAAATGACGCCGCGGAGGTACCAAGGGTCAGGGACACTAGCCAATTCTTCTTTCGTGGACGCTGCGGGGTCACCAAAGGGCAGGTTATATTAACATTTTGAAAGTGATGAATTTGGATGTTGAAAATGGGGAGTGACATCGACATGCATCGCATTTCATAGCATCTCATTTTTTATGTTGAGATTGGTCACTATGTTGTATTTTACTCGACATGGTATGACCCCGACCCCTATTGTTTAATTCTTTGTTTGGATTCACGGGGACACAAAAGGTGTGTCTTAGGTGCCACCTACTGAGCAAATTGCTCATCCCATTATACTTAACATTTTTCAGGACGTGGAAAGGAATTGGCGGATGACAATCCACTACAGACGTAAGAGAACTTGAAGGCATTTTGAGAGCATTTTGTAAAGACTTTAACTTATTTGTACAGTAACATGTTATGCAATGTACCGACTTTATTTGGCATGTAAATCATGTTATAACTTGAAGCTTAAATTCATTTTGTTGTAAATTAAGACAACAACAAAGACTATGTATAAATTCCATGTAATTGAATCAAATGATGTCGTAATGGGATCAAGGGTTGGCATATTGGTCCATGATTAAAGTACGGTGCATTTTCTAAATGTTTAAGCCAAGTTTTAATCATTTTAAAGTCCCCATTCTAGTTTCTCTATATCTCCACAAGGGTAACAACTTAACATCAGGTCAGGGCTCATCCGAGCCATTTCGGTCGACCGAAATGGCACATCGGTCGACTGAACCAATTGCATGCTCTCGAGATCTTAGATTTCGGCAGACCGCAAC